CCGCTTTCTGCAGCTACTCCGTACACTTGCGGGTAGTGAAAATATTTTGCGAACAGTAGTCCAATTAAAAATTGTTCAATTTAAAAAAATTAACGTGAATTAATGTCTAATTACACATGTTATATAATATTTTAGGTTTTTTTATATTTTAAATATACATGTTTAAGTTTCTTTTATAATGAAATATAAAACTATAAAAATAATGATAAATATTATTTCGCTAATTAAGTATAATTGATATTAAAATGATAAACTAACAACTCAATGTCGAACTGTCAGGTAAATTATCATATTATAAGTAGATTATTCTGATCTTAGAGTTTCATTTAAGTTCCAACGGCATTTGTTCTTACTTATAGTTTTTTATGTCATTACAATAAATAAAAATCAGCGTCAAATTATATTTTGTATATATAGCATATATGCTAATCCAAATTAATCGTACTTTGACTTTTTTCTTAAATAAATTAGTATTTAGTCACGCCTATTATATGTTGTTGTTTTGCATGGAAGTAATAGAAATGAGTTTAAAATATTAGTTTTTGGGAACAACAAGTTGCCAAGTAATCAAACTAATAATATTGTACAATAAGGTTCTTAATAATATACTATTTTGTTTATGACGAATATTTATGATTTCACAATTTACCTACATAATATCACTATTTTATTTTTTAATACACTTCAAATTATAATATTCTCCAAAATAAATACAGTCCGTGCATGACACGGGTTACGTACTAGTATAATATAAGATGGATAAATTGAGAAATTTTATTTTAAATATAAATAATAATATAAATTTGTAAAATGTATTTAAAATTTAAATATATTTTTTTTTTCTTCCAAAGGATAAAAATCAAAGGCTCCTCCTCTCCATAAACGTGCCCTCTCGCCGCGTGACTCAGCTGACTGACCACCACACCCAACACCTAATCTCGATTTTGACTCACCTCTGTCCGCCGGAAATTCATGCTCCGCCCGCCGGCGTAATTTAGGTCTACGCTCACCCCTTTCCGGACAAGGGCAAAACTATCACCACGGTAATCTCAAAAACATGCCACGACTCTCTTTACTGCTTGATCGATTTGATTGTTGGTCTGTACTTCCTCAAAATTGATAGTTTGTTACGAAATTGCGAAATTCAGATGAATACACAGCAGAGGAGTGGATCGGGTCCTTCTGTTCAGAGCCCTCGATCGCCGTCCTCGCAGTCTCCATATTTGACTGTATCAGTATCGGATCCGGCTAAAATGGGCAATGGAGTCCAGGCTTACATTTCGTACAAAGTTATTACTAAGGTATTAATGTTCTGTCTTTGATCGTACTCGGTGCAGTATATTCTTTAGCCTTCTCTGTTAGTGATTACAGTGAGTGTGTTTGTCGAAATTCTATGTTCATTCGGATGCTGATTTTGAGTTTGTGGTTCATCTAGAAGAGCAGTATATCCCATGTAATTACTCACCCATTTGCATGTAGATTAGGAATTGAGATTCAGAGAATTGGTGCATTTTAGGGGATTGTTTGTTTCCCTGAATCTACTGATGCATTTATGAGCATGTAAAGCTAGTTTCGACGGGAAAGTTACTAGAGTTTTTGTAAGACACTGTGGATAATAGTAAGTTTCTGGACGGCATGCATGAGCTGTGTTGGTCTTGCAAGTGATTGATGTCTTAACATCCCCTATATGTGTCAGTATCTCAATTCTCTGAGAGGTCAGTTTCTATTGCTCAGGAGCCAACTGAGAAACTGCGGTGAACATGCATGAATCCAACAGGGCACGGAACTAGGAGGATTGAATAATTTAATTATTATTATGAGGGT